CCCCAAAACCCCAAAACCCCAAAACCCCTAGCTATTAAATCTAATTGATAATTCTGAGTTTTAATATCCAATATGGATTCAGGTGATAATTTAAGAGTTTTAAAGCATTGTTTTGACAGTGAATCCCATGTGAGTATTTTGTTTCAAAGATCTCACAACTAATTTTCAATGCTAAATCTGAATACTAAGCTTTAAATGTGCATATCTGAGGTTCTTCTCATGAAGATCCTGGATAAAGTCTAAATTGGCCATTTATTATTATTTCTCAGGCAAGGAGACAGTTGGTAAGTTAACCATCTGAATCTGTTAGAGACATTTAATTATTGCTGGAAATTATTTTGCAAAATTCTAAGCTCACTGATACACCTTGGGCCTGATTAAGACTATAAGTCAACAAACAATTTTATAAATAACTTCATAAAGAGCCACCATTTTGTAGGAGATATAACCCACAAAGAGGCGAGAACTTCTTTATAATTATTGAAGTGTCTCTTGCTTGAAGAAAGTGTTCCATTTAAAATAATGGAGTCTCACCACTTCTAAGAACTGCCCCCAATATGGGGTACCATTAGATGAACATGGTAGGTTAACAACCAACTTTATTAAAATTTTATTCCAGACCTTACTAGAGCAATAAGCATGAAAAATAGCGAATTTTAGACAATTTTATGGCTTCGTATCGCCATGTTAAAACCATGAAATGTTATTAAAAATAATATAAATTAGTGCATTATCTCAGCAACCAAATTTCTATCAAAGATTTTAAGTTTAGGAAAAAGTAAGAAATAGGTCTTGCCACACTTGAGACACTAGATTTAAAGTCTCAGTGAATAAGCGTAAACTAATGTCTCCTACTATTGCGCTTCACCATGTTTAGTGTTGATGCATGCTAAGCTTTCAGAATATTTTAATAATCGCAAAAATATTAAACCGAGAAAATAATTCAGCTGCAAGTCAAATCAATTAGAAATATCTGAGCTATGAGTTTAGCATGCAGGTTACAAATGTCTCCAGCTTCTTTAGATGAGCTTTAACTTTCTTTCTGAATGTCCATCTCTGCTCCTTAAAGACCATCCTGACCAAGTTTTCCAGATTGATGAAGTGCAACAGTACGTGGAAGAATTCTGGGTGATCGTTCATCAACCTAAATTTCTTCTCCGAGTAGAAGTACAACAATTTGCTGATAGCCTCTTTAAGTTGGGCGTCTTCTTGTGGAATAGTTCCCAATTTTCCTTTAGCGTTGATGATGCAGTCGAAGACCACACTGACTCTGTCAAGACGGACCTCAGGGAACTTGGCCTTGCAGTACTCTTGGAGTCTTTGGGGGTAATCTTCCTGTAATGGGCGAGGACCAGACATAGTGGCAAAGTCTTTGACAAAGTACTTTCGAAGTCTTCTGAACACGGCTTTGAAGACAACATCTCTTCGAGCACTGAGATCGGTTTGGGTTCTTCTCACCGTAAACTCTTCAGATTCAGCCTCTGAGTCGTAATTAGAGAGCTCTGTTGCCAACCTGATTCTGAAAATATTATCAGTCTCAGCTTTAGTATTTATTTTATCTTCTTCATAACATTTTGTATCGTGATCTTTTAGCTTTTGTGGGGTCTTTTGGTTAAGTTCTGGGACTTTAGGAATAATATTTTCTTGAGTATGGACTCTTTGATTCCTGAAACATACTCAATAGCTCTTCATCATCTCTTCCATCAGGCTACTAGGCATGCTCGGGTTTCATCTTAACTGAATAAAACCTAAACTAGGAGCAGCTCTTTCTAAACACATCTTAGTTAAGAAAAATGTGATAATTTAGGAAATCAAATAGAATTTTCAAAAGATTTGAAAAGGCCAAAGAAAGTTTGATACTACTCTCAAACTCGCTTTTGACCAAGTCTGAGTCTATCTCTTCATCATCTTTGTCAGATTCAAAGAGTGTAGCTTCAGGCTTAATTCAACATCCTTCAAGGCCCGGCTAACAACCAGAAACTGGTACTTTCACATAACAATTTAGAGAACTCACCTGTGCTCTTTATGCTCCTCATTAAGCCTGTTTGCAATTGTTGTTGGCTACCGAGATGGGAGTCAACGTAATGCTGCCTGGTAGGTCCATAAGTGTTGGGGTTTTCCATATTTGCTAAACCTCTATTATTGTTTTGATTATATAATCCAGTTCCACTTATAATGCTTCTCACGGGGTTTTGGGGTTTTGGGGTTTTGGGGTTTTGGGGTTTTGGGGTTTTGGGG